ATGAGTGCTTATTTCGAAAACGCAGCATCATTCTGCAAATGTCACCATTTCCAGAAAGCCTTTGACTGAAGAGAAGCCTCAGGAATGTCAGCAGGCCCATAAACTCTGCATGTCTGAATACGCATCACCTACCGGAATTGTTTGCTCATAGGAAGATTATTAATTAACATGAGCCTCACCCACTACAGGTCATCAGGGCCATGAGAAAAGGATCTTCTTCTTGGGCCTTGTACCTACCACAGAACCTGGTACACACACACTCACGATGTCAAATCACCTGGCATTTAACCCAGAGCCCAAATGTAGCTCAGCAAACATAAACAAACGGGACTCATCAAACTAAGAAGCTTCTACATTTCAAAACAAACAGTGACCAAAATACAGAAAGAGCCTACAGAATGGGAAAGAATATTTACCCAATACCCATCTGATAAGGGATTAATATCCAGGATATGCAAGACACTAGAACTTCACAAGAAAAAAACCTCCAACCCTATCAAAAAATGGGGAGAAGAAATGAACAGAAGTTTCCTCAAAAAAGAAATACAAGGGGGTATGGTGCCGCCAGCAGATCAATCTGTGCCTGTGAGGCGAGTGCATCAGCAGCCTGATGGCACCTTCAGACTTCCAGATACCCCAAAATTGCTGCTGTGCCTTTGGCCAGACCCCAAAAACTTGGGGCAAAGTTTACCAAGAAAGTAAACGGCCAAAAGTTAGGTATCTGGGAAATACACCCACAAACCACCTCCGGCTCAGCTATATAATTGGAGGCAAGGCCTCTGTGGTTCCTGATTGAACTGCTTAATGGCCATGATCCCAGAGACTCAGAAACGAATCTTGGAAACCAGCGGCTTTAGGTAGAAATGCGTCCGGTCCCTGCAGTAGGTTACCGGTGCTGGGCCAACCCAGGTGGGAATAGGTTTTGTGCCTTGGCCTGTTCCCCCTGGCGGCCCAGTGGCCGCCATCCTTCAGAGGCCATTGGACAGTCAGATTTTGGCCCCCAGTGACGAGACACACAGGGCCTCACAGGATGGGGGTGGAGCCGGGCTTGTCCTCCCCACCCCAACGAGACCCCAAGTCATTGCCCACAAATGGCCTCTCTGGCTCCTGATCCAGCTGTTTAACGGCCATGATCCCAGAGACTCAAACAAATCTCAAAACCCAGTGGCTTTTGGCAGAAATGTGTCCGGACCCTGCAGTAGGTTACTGTCGCCGGGCCACCCCAGGGGGGAAAGGGTGCTGTCCCTCCACCTGTTTCCCCCTGGTGGCTCGGTGGCTGCCATTCTCCAGAGGCCATTGGACAGTCAAGCTTTGGCCCGCAGTGACGAAACTTGTTGGGCCTCATGGGATGGGGTGGAGCCGGGCCTGTCCTCCCCACCCCAACGAGACCACAAGTCATAACTCAAGAACGGCCTCTCTGGCTCCTGATCAAACAGCTTAACAGCCATGATTCCAGAGACTCAGGAGCAAATCTCGAAACCCAGTGGCTTTTGGCAGAAATCCCTCCAGATTTAAGTGTTAAAATTTCGGAATTTCAAAATCACATGGCCCTACTGCAGCCACGCAACATCATATGTTATTCATAACCAGCAATAGAACACAAATTGCAGCCACGCGACATCATATGTTATTCATAACCAGCAATAGAACACAAATTGTCTATTGTTGCCTTTTCAACATATCTTTATTATCTCAAATAATAAAGATGGGTCTGGTGTCGAAATATTGAATGTGATCAAAGTAGAGAGAGAGTAATGTGGAAATCATCTTCCCACAGGTGGGGGGAGGGTGTGGGATGGGGGGTGTACTAGGGTTTTTGGTGGTGGAGAATGGGCACTGGTGAACGGACGGGTGTTTCATTGTATGACTGAGACCTAAACCCGAAAGCTTTGTAACTGCTCTCACGGTGATTCAATAAATAAAATTATAAAAAATGAAAAAAAAAAAGTAAGGTGGAGTTCATGAACAATTCAATCAGCTAATCAGTGGCTGAATAAATAGTACTCCTACGAAAAAAAAAAAGAAATACAAATAGCCAAAAGGCACATGAAAAAATGCTCCCCATAGCTAGCCATCAGGGAGATGCAAATCAAAACAACAATGAGATATCATCTCACACCACAGAGACTGGCACACATTCAAAAGAACAAAAGCAACCAGTGCTGGCATGGATGTGGGGGGAAAGGGACACTCTTTCACTGCTCGTGGGAATGCTCACTAGTCCAGCCTTTCTAGAAAACAATATGGACAGTCCTTCAAAAACTAGAAATTGAGCTTCCATATGACCCTGCAATACCACTTCTGGGAATATATCCCGAGGATGCAAAAAAGCACAGTAGAAATGACATCTGTACCTATTATGTTCATTGCAGCACTGTTCACAATAGCCAAAATATGGAAACAACCCAAGTGCCCTAGAATAGATGACTGGTTAAAGAAACTTTGGTACATCTACATAATGGAATACTATGCAGCTGTCAGGAGAGATGAAGTCATGAACTTTACTTATAAATGGATAGACATGGAGAGTATCATGATAAGTGAAATGAGTCAGAAAGAGAGGGACAGACATAGAAGGACTGTACTCATTTGTTGAGTATAAAACAACAAAACATAAGGCTGACACCTAAGGATACTAGATACACGAGAGAGACAGATTGCTCCACTGCTGGAGGCCTGCCTCATGAGCAAAGGGGAGAAGGCAGCTGGAATAGAGAAGGGATCACTAAGAAAATGATGGCTTGAGGAACCAGTCGGGATGGGAGATGTGTGCAGAAAGAAGATAAAGGACCAAACATGGTCTCTCAGAGTCTGTATTGCAAACCATAATACCCAAAAGTAGAGAGAGATTATGGCAAATCATGTCTGCTATGGAGGCAGGGGGAGGGTGGGAAATGGGGGGGGGGGGGTGATACCAGGAATACAGGTGGTGGGGAATGTGCACTGGTGGAGGGATGGGTGTTTGATCACTGTGTGATTGTAACCCAAACATGAAAGGTTGTAACTATCTCACGGTGATTCAATAAAATAAAATTTAAAAAAAGTAGCTCAGACGTAGTTAGCAAAGCACAGACCCCTACACTGAGACACACACACCAACAAGATAGTAATTTAAGCCAGAACCTGCCAAACACCCAGCACTCTCCAGATCCAAGCCTGGCATGTCTGGGCTACAAGTTTCTGCAGGATTCCTGCTTTGAGGAAGTTTACAGATTAATACAGACACATTAAAGTAACTTTTAAAATGATCATTGAGGTCTGGACAAGGTGACCTCCATTTCAAAGCGGTAAGAGACCCTTTCTAATGAAGACAATCCAGAAACAAGTTCTAAAGGAACGGTGGCATTAGAAAATCCATGTTTGGGGGGGCCCGAGAAATGCCATAATAGGTAGGGCAATTGCCTTCTATGCAACCAACCTAAGTTTGATCCCCAGCACCCCACACAGTCCCCGGAGTCCACCAGGAGTAATTTCTAAGTAAGAGCCAGAAAAAAATCCCTAAGCACCAGCAAGTTTGCCCAAAATAATAAGAAGAAAAGAAAAGAAAACCCATGTGTCAAAATGGCAGTGCTAATTCAAAACTGTGATGTTGGCTATTCCTCTCTGGGGAAGTATGGCCCAGATCAATAGACCATTCACTCATTTTTATTCATTTTGTTAGATTATGACTGAGTATATAGTAGGTGCTAGACAACGCTCTAGAGAGGGACATCAATGAAATGGGCACCAAGCTGACATCACATACATACATCACACACATACACATACACACAAGAACACACAAGCGCACACAAACAGATTGTCCTGGCAGATTAATCCTGGTCCTCCTCATTCCCTTGTGACCTGGACCTCCAACAATGGAACACAAATTCTGGGTCTAACCCAAATCCTCTACATGCCAGGCAGACACTGCCCTCCAGAAGTCAGGTCTCTGAAGTCAGGTCAAAAGTGACACCCCTCCAGGTAAAGAAGTGGCTAAGGCAACTGCCTTACACGCAGCCACCCCTGGTTCAATCCCCATCACCAGATATGGACACGTGAACACCACCAGGAGTGACCCCTGAGCACAGAGTTCTGAAGAAGGAAGGAGAAGAAAGAATGGGGGGGGGGGGGAGCCTAAAGGCTATTTCAGCACATTCTTACGTTCTAGAGGAAGAAACAAAAAGCTCAGAGCTCCCATCCCTGAACTGGACCCAGAGAGACGGAACTTAGAAAGTAGAGGCAGACTAGAGTCGGGATGCCCCACCCACAAAGCTGGGTGTTTTCCAAGAAAGGTCCCACTCTAATACTGAATGACTGAAATCCAATCAAGAACGCTCTATCACACAGTGATTCGGAGAAGTAAAAAAAAGTTTAAAAATAATTTAAAAATGAAAGATGTGAGGGCGTCTGCCCCGCACGCGGCTGACCAGGGTTCGATTACCAGCATCCCATATGGTCCCCTGAGCACCGCCAGGAGTAATTCCTGAGTGCATGAGCCAGGAGTAACCCCTGTGCATTGCCGGGTGTGACCCAAACAGAAAAAATAATAATAAAAGATGTTTCTGATGGAAAGAAAGAAAGAAAGAAAGAAAGAAAGAAAGAAAGAAAGAAAGAAAGAAAGAAAGAAAGAAAGAAGAAAAAAAGGTCTCACTGTGCCCTTGACCCCTTACCCTGGGCACAGCCCTAAGGAAGAAACTTGGGGCCCAAAAGGAGGTTTATCCCTCCCGGCGGGGAACCGAACCGCGCGCGTGGCTGGGGTTCCGCCCGCTCCGTTTCCTGTCCCCGTGCGCACAGGACACAGAGGGGAACGGAGAGACGGCGCTGATACCCGGCCAGTCCCTGTCCCCGCGTCCCGCAGCGGGTTCCCGCGAGCCGGGGACGCGCAGGCTGCCCGGTGGGCTCCGGCCGCCCCCACCCGCCGCGCGGGGCTGCAGCGTCCCGGGCCCGCGGCGTCCCGGGCCCGCGGCGTCCCGGCGCCCGGCAAGAAGCGCGGCCCGACCCCCGCGGGGCGGCGATACCTTCCGGAGGAAGCTGGCGACCACCTGCTCGAAGGGGTACTTGTACACCTGGCGCACCTCCACCGTCACCCCCATCCCGCGCGCGGCGCCAGCTGCCCTGGATGTGGCGGGGGTGGGGGGTGGGGGGCTCCTTCCTCTTCAAACTCCCGAAACTTTATTGTCCGCCCGAGAACACACACGCCCCGCCCCGCCCCGCTCCGCTCCGCCCCCGCGCCCGTCGGGGCGGCACTGTCCCTCCCCCCCCCCCCCCCACCGGGCCTCTGCCTGCGGGCTGGAGCTGTGTACCACCCCCCCATCCCCGGGTCTCTGCCCGCTGGCCAGAGCTGTGTCCCTCCCTTCCCCCGGGCCTCTGCCCGCGGGCCAGAGCTGTGCCCCCTGCCCGGGGTTCTCTGTCCGCTGGCCGGAGCTGTGTCCCCCTCCCCGGGGTTCTTTCCCGCTGGCGGGAGCTGTGTCCCCTCCCTCCGGGGTCTCTGCCCGCTGGCGGGAGCTGTGTCCCCTCCCCCCCAACCCTCCCTCCTTCCCGAGTCTCTGCCCGCTGCGGCCCTGACTTGTGCGCTTTGCAGGCACCCGGAGCCCCGTGGTGAGCCCGTCAGCGCTTTTGGCAACGCAGAGAAAAGAGACCCGAGCCCTAAACTTGCGGCCTTCTGGGTGAACGAATCGTGACTGCGCCTTCCCCCTCGTGCCCCGGGTCACCTCTCAGACTGGGCCCCAGCACGAAGGTGCCCAGCTTTTGGCGGGGGGCGGGGGGCAGGCGAAGACTGGAGGGGTCTGAAGTCCCTGGGCTCCTCAAACACTATGGAAACTGGAAGGGGCTCGGGGGAGAGAACTTAAGTTTTCTTCATCCAACTGTATATATATATATATATTTTTTTTTTGTCATGGTGAGATACAAAGTTACAAAGTGGTTCATAATTAGGTTTCAGTTATACAATGTACCAACCAACACTCGTTTCTTCAGCAGTGCACAACTCCCACCACCAATGTCCCTAGTTTCCCCCGTGCCACCCTTCCCCCAGCCTGCCTCTATGGCAGATCCCACCCACCCTCTCTCCCTCCCTCTCTCTTTCTGTCCTCTCTGTCTCTCTCAGTCTCACTGTCTGTCTCTCTCTCTGTCTCTCTCCCTCCCTCCCTCCACCCTCCTCCCTCTCTCTCCCCCTCTCCTTTGGGGCATTATGATTTGCAATAATGTTACTGAGAGGTTAAGATGTTTGTTCCTTTACCTGTTTCAACATGCAGTTCTTACCCAGAGTGATCCATTTCCAACTATTTTTGTCATGGTGGTCTTTTCTCTATCCCAGTTGCCTTCTCCCCCAGCATTTGAGGTAGGCTTCCAACCGTGGACCTAACCTCCTGGCCCTTGATTCTGCTGTCCTTGGGTATTGGTCTCACATTGGTTTTTTAATCTCCCACAAATGACTCCAATACAATTTTTTTTATATGCCACAAATGAGTGCAATCATTGACTATATCTTTTAAGAGAATTGTGAGTGTGAATGCTTTTGTTCAGGGCAGTCTCTACAATTTTACTGAACAGTTACTATGTTCCAAGCCCAGTGACAGATGCCAGACTCACCAATGATGGAGCACAGGCCCCACTGTCCTGTAGGGCAGGAGAGCAAGAAGATTCAAGATCCAGTACATCAAGGAGGAAACTGAGTCTGTAAAAAACCTCTGGAGGGGTGGCCAGTGAGTGGCCCTGCCGGTTCTTGCCCTGACGACCCAGGTTCTGGGTGGGCCCGGGCCGCTCCCCCAGCCAGGGCATCCCAGGCCCTGGGGCAGATGGCGGAGGAAGTGAGGGCCAAGGTTGATTCACCAGATGCCGTTTATTCCATTCTCCCCACGCGCCTACCCCAGCCTATCTGAGCCTCCCATTCTGGTCTCCACTGCTCCTGATTCCCGTCTCCTCCTGTCTCTCCTGCTCATCTCTCCTCCATGCTCCATCTCGCAGCCTGGGCTCTCTCTCTCTCCATGTGCCTGCTCCTGTATTCCTCTACATCCTTTTCTCTCTGTCCCACTTGCTAGCCTCTCTGTGGTCCATCTAGCCTCCCTGCTCTCTCCACTCTCCAACTCTCTTGCCTCCAACTCCCCTGCACTCTGGGCTCACATTGCACCCCATCAGGTAGCAAAATCAATATAAGAAAGTCCTTCCTGAGGGCCCACCTAAAAGGTATTCTAAAGCCCTTCCGGACAAAATACCAAGGGCAAAATACCCCTTAAGGTGTTTTTCTCCTTTCCTCAGTCCAATAACTATCAACATATCAATACTAGTTATTTTTGTATGTACACAGTAAGAGATAACATTGAGTCTTGTAGGGAAGCTCTCCTGGGAACATCTTGCCACAGACTCAGACTACAGCGCTCAGGCCAGGTTAATCTTTCCTAACCCTAGCAGGGTTCAAATCTGGTTATTACTTTTTGGATTATGACGCATTTGCCCATGCCCAAGTTCTTATAGTTAAACATTATGGCACTTTGGCCAGGCCCATGTTGATGCCAGGATAGCACATAGCTTACCGCTTGCCCTGGTTCCATCCAGTCCCTGGTCGGGACCCTGCTTTGGGGGGTGCTTGGAAGTAAAGGCAGCTGAGGCTTAGGTGAGAGAACAGATGCCCAGGAGGAAAATATCACTGAAAGTCAAATTACAAAAAGCATATCTTCTTGTGTTCATATAAAAAGGACATTGCTCTGAATAAACTATGCAAAGGACTTAGGGAGAAGAGAAAAACAATATTTACAAGTCAACAGAGCACAAAGAAAGAAGTTACAAATAAACACAGAGGAATGGGAGCACTGTGATGGGAGCAACCCAATAAACCTAAACAACCTGAGGCTATGCAGGAAGGACAAAACAGTGTTATCCTACATGAATCCAATAGTGTGTTCAAGTTACAGACCGCTAGGGCCAGAGAGATAGCACAGCAGGTAGGGATCTAGCCTGGCACCCCATATGGTCCCAAAAGCTCCATGGAATATCACCCAAAAGAAGTATGTCAAGTTTCATGCAGTGGGCCATGGTTTTTGTCAAGATGTATAAAGACAGTTTCTGGGGTGATGACTTATATGTAAAATTTTATTAGATTCCAAGGTACATCTGTTATATATAGTCAGACTGTTCTGGCAAAATTTTAGCCATAGCTAAAGCAGTTCTCTAATTACTGATTGCATCACCCAAATCCTGGAAGTTAGTAGCGCCATCCCCTCTCTACCAACAGATAACTCTGTAAGAGAACTAACAGTCCTCTTTGCATTTTTTCAGTATTCTTTTACAAGTCCCATTATCTTTATTCAGTTTTAAAAGAAAATGCTTTTAAAAATTCAGTATATCAAGAGTTAAGTGATGAAAGTAGGTAAAGGGATATGCATGATTACCTTTTAGTATTATAAACCATAATGCCCAAAAGAAAAGAGACAGACAGACAGAATGAATGAATGAAGAAAGTACCTGCATAGAGACAGGTAAGGGTTGGGGCGGGGGGGCGGAGGAGGCCATCAGGCAGGAAAGAAACTAGGAATATTGTTGGTGGGAAATGTACACTGGTGAAAGGAGGGGTGTTGGAACATTATAAGACTGAAACCCAATCATGAATAACTTTGTAACTGTGTATCTCACTGTAATTCAATTTAAAAAAGATTTTTTTTTAATTTAGTACTCTGTCAGTGCATTTCATTTTTACCGTGAGCTGACCGATTGAATTTTACTGGCCACAATGAGGTAGCATTCAGTGGAGCTTCCAGGTTGGAAGTATAACAGGGAGATCATTTCCAGAAAATGCCAAGCATGGAGTATGATTGTGCTAAAAGGAAAGACAGCCTTTTCTGTGGTGAGCTCCCTAACAAAGTGACTTGGTGATTTATTACCAATTTGTAACAAGAAGTGTGAGATAGGACTAATTTATTTACAATGAGAATCATAGCTGGTAGCCACAACTATAGTATTCAATTCATAACCACTAACCTCAAGGGACATTTTAATGGTGTCAGGAAAAAACGCTACATTTCTCTTAATCCACTTATTCCCCCACATTCCTCTCACCCCAAACCTCTGGCATTTCCCCTGTCAGTTCCTATTTCCTTTATCACTTTGTAAAAAGGTGATATCTGTTTCTCTGTCAAATATCCAAGTGCCTTTTCCTCTGTGTCTAAGGATGAACCACCAACACACAGTTGAGGGTCATTCTTTCCACTCACCTACCATACACATGGTGGGTTGACAAATGAATTAACAAGAACCGCTGGCAAGGATCAGCAGGCATGGTCCATGGTTGGAAGCTTGCCCAAGTGGTAATGTGGAGAGGGCAACTGGGATAGAGAAGGGACCACTATGACAAAGATAGTTGGAAACAATCACTCTGGACAAGAACTAAGTGCTAAAAGGAAATAAAGGGACCAACATGATAATGTTTCAGCATCTATATTGGAAACTATGATGCCCAAAAGGAAGGAGAGAGAGAGTGCAAGCAAGTGAGTGAGCAAGTGAGCAAGTGAGTGAGAGAGAGAGAGAGAGAGAGAGAGAGAGAGAGAGAGAAGTAAAGGGCCTGCCATAGAGCAAGCTGGAGGGAGAGGAGCAAGAGGGAAATTGGGAACATTGATGGTGGGAAATGTACACAGATGAAGAACAGGTGATGGACTATTGTAAGACTGAAACCCAATCATGAACAACCTTGTAACTGTATCTCAGTGATTCAATAAAATAAATAAAGAGAATAAGGAAACAAAAAAAAGGAGGGCAGGAGGTACAGTTCAACCATATTGCACTTTCTTTGCTGTGTGAGATCCTGGGTTCAATCCCAGATCCCCACCCCCCAAAAAAAAAGAAAAGTGATAAAGGTCTACTTCCCGCCACCTTGTACTTCCAGAAGTCACACCCACATCCCACAGTGGTTGCCACTCCAACACATAAACTCATCAGCCCAGTTCTACAGACACCTCCAAATCTCTCAGTACTGACATTCCAGTAGGAGCAGCCAAATTTGATGGGAAAGTAACGTAGACGTCAACTAAGCTGAATAAACAAAAACAGTGAAACAAAAGACCATACTAGCAAAAAACAGCTTAGCAAACGCTCAGACAAGGACTTAATCACCCCATGGTGAGATATAACAATTTTCACAAG